AAAGACTGCAAATTCTAGTATGTCGTCTGTGGTACACCCAAAAAGCCTTCCTTCTGTGGGAGTGGGTCCATTGTACTCTGGGAGGTTTTACTTCCAAGTATGCATGCGTAGGACTGCTATGTAATGCTGCCAGTCAAGATGCGTGTACTTAGAAGTAAGTCCCATTGGGCTAAAAGGGAGTTGCCCCTAATAATCCACAGGAATGCGTTTAGACCCAGTTTTTCCTGCAGATATAACAGTTTTCTAACACCTGATACATGCCCTATTTCAGTTATTCGGTGGTGAGTGCCCTATTGCTTTAGCCTTTAAGAAGAATTCGGCACAGGGTCAGTTCTCTGGTCACCATGCCCTAAGTTTCCAATTTGCTTTGGATCCATATATCTATATGTATTTTCGATCCCATTTCCAAGTGGATTTCAGCATGGTGATTTGAAAGTAGCACCTCTGGTTAGGAGAAAAAATGGTGTAGAAATCTGCCAGGTTTAATAAAATTTAGCCCCGCAATCTCTTCTAATATTATTCCTCTCTTCCTAACTAGAAAATAAAGTGATCACCACTATTCCTTTTAGAAACAAGAGGAAGGCAAGAGGATCAAAATATGGAGCGCATTGTAGAATCTGTTATAATTTAATCAACAACAGTAGATTACAGGGATCGCTTAAGGAACTGGCTAACCTGCACCATAAAGCCTAAGCTATCTGAATGTTCCTTCACACAGTGCATTCTATACCCGAACATATACCTGCAGTAACTCATTTTAAAACAAGAGAATCATGCAAAAGCACTTATCACAGAGCTGCATGGACTACACTTTGCTATCAGGCGCATGCCTGGTCATAAACCAGCATTTTCAGTTCATAGTACTTCTGTACAGACCTTAAGACATGAATGACATGAGAGCCAAAGAGGGCGTGAATGTGGGGGCACAAGCGAGGACGACTTTCCGGTGGAGCATTCTACTCAAAGGCACTTCGGCACAGAGAGAAGCCTGTTCAGACCTTCCCATCCAGTAAGGGATGAGGGGAGATGTTGGGGCAGAATTTCTGCGTTTGTGTGCCTGTATCATTTTAGGCCTCACACGAACTGGCTGCATTCCTGCACAGGGATGTGGTGAGGTCATACTAAACATGGCTGGTTCATATGGCAAAATGCTCTGGACTACAGATGGCCAATGGAGTTTAGCCCCACTGAAGTCCACTTTATTTTTAAAATTTCTAAGCCAGCCTTCATCTGCAAGATCCCAGAGTTACGCACCATTAAGAACAAACAAAGCATCTATTTTAAACTCCATAAAATTATACACTATAAAGCAAACTAAACAAAGGTTTATTTATAGTGTGTTTATATTTAAAAATATTTAGTTCCTATTTTCTGTCTTTCAAAGGCTGCCAAAGTATTATAAGAAACCAAAAAATGTTGAGAGGTGATTTTAAACAACAGGAGAGCTGATAAAATCAGCCAGATACATTATTCTCCAGGTCTCATGCTAAAGGCTCTATGGAAGAGATACATCTTTACATTCTGGTGGAAAGCCAGCACTAAATGGACAAATAGACCTCGTTCAAGATGATGTTTGGCAATTGTGGCAGAAAAAGCAAGCCGAAAAAGCATCCAGTGATGGCTTAAAGACTATCAACTTTCCTTTTGTGGACTAGAGGCTACTTCATCAGATGCTGAGAAATGCCTTCTCTGGCCTCCCTACTTGTCACTGAGATGATGGGAGGCTGCAGGGAAGATCTGATGTTGACCTAAGCGCCGAACATAGGTGGGGACTGGGCAGAAGCCATTTAGGCATCAAACAGTAAGACCAGCAATTAGGCTCTGAAAAATGGGGACCCAGTCCTGATGGTGTAGCCCCAAAACAATGTTCTCGGTGTGCTTTGCTGTGGTCAGAACCATTGCTGACTGCATTCTGGACCAGCTGACATGCCTGGACACTTTTCAGAAAAGGTCATTGTGGCCTGGATGTTCTTAGGACGTGAATGAATGTGGCCAGGTCTGTCTGCAGGTCTCGAGTTTTCCGGATTTTGCAAAATGGAAGCCATCTCTACAAGCACAACTCAGAATGGTTCGAGCAAAGGTGAGGGTGGTAGCAGAAGTGCTTGGAGGGCTTTATTGTCCATTCAGCATCGCCTGACTTGCTATGTTAGGGGTGGCACATGACCTGTCAGTGTATGGTGATGCTAATCAGAGACTGATAGCCACCTTGTCTTCAATCCCATACTCTGCAAGTGGCTCTGCTTTCAAAATTGTAACACTAAACGTCAGTTCTACATATAAGAGACCTCCATATCGAATTCAGCGTAGATGCCTCATCTTTTCCAGTTTTTGTTGTCATCGTTAAGCATTCATAATAATCTGTTATGAATGCTTATTCAAGTGTAGTCCAAACTCTGTTAATTTAGGGTATATCAAAGCTTAACTTAGTTGGGCATAGAGAAAGCTTTGCTATTCCAGCTCTTTTCCCTTTCCCTCAGGAAAAGTGCAAAGGCAGTATTTTACCCAAGAGATGCGCAAACAGTGCCCCTCCGTGAGACAATGGGCTAGTCATTGATTTTTAGTTTTGCCCCTTAGAAGTTCCTGAGCAAAGACCTCCAAAATTCTCCAGGGGATTGGCAAAGGTGGCAGCTCTTCTTCTGAGTTCTGTTAATTTTTCCCACTGAAAATACAAGGATTCCACCATTTTGAATAGGGGCAGATGATACTTAACCTGCACTCATCTTTTCTGCATGGTTACAAGCAGCAATATGGAAAACCCACCAGAGAACCTTCATTAGTCTTATATAAACTTCTTTGCTCCCTGAAAAAATACTTTGCATAAGGAAGAATCTCCACATGTGAAGTTTGCTTTACGTGAACTTCATGGTGACTCTGACTCCATCCCTCTTCCTGTTCCGGGATGTTGACCAATCATTGCAAAGTTAGTGATAAGAGTGTCAAGTCACCGAGGCAATGCTGTCGAGCTCCATCAGTCCCGATTGCATCTCCTGAGTTGTGCAAGAGGAAGGAAACGCTGGCTGCACTTCCCTCCCTTGTCAATGATATTTTTCTCCTCCTGGTTATGCCAGTGCTTAACCAGAATTTTCTCCCCACATGATGTGCTACTAAATCCCATGCCTGTATTTCAAATGAAAAAAAAAATCAGTAAATTTACAAAAGAAGAATAAGGACTCAGACATGCATTACTCAGAAAGGATAATGCCAGGAAGATCTACCGTGTGTCACTTGCACTGTCTGTGCCATTTGTTCATACGTATGTGCTTTCACTGTTTCATCCCTGGAAAACATGTTTTCTGCTAAGTCCAAATCAATTCAGTTGCTGACACTCTTTGTGCCCTGCAAGTATTGCATGGATGTTAACTCTCCTCTCACTTAGCAAAGATCAAGCAACAGAACAACATTTTTCTGATAAACTATATCAAAACGATTTTGAAAATTCTGGAGATTGCGCCACAAAAACCAGTATGGTTCAACACAGTGTACATGATCCATTCCTTATTGGACGATTGGAGTTGATAGGAGAGTGTGTGCTCAGTTTCACACAGCTCCCTAAAAGAGGGAAGCAAGTCATTGAAGGAAAATGGCATGCAGAAGTATTCCCTTAATAAATCCCAAGACTTCTTTGAACTCTGGGCTCCTGTTTGCAGTTGAGGCAGCATCAGAGTGGGAGTTCAGGACATGTCTGTGCTTATCAGGAATTTCGCATGCAACATTAGAGAAGGGTGCAATGCTAAGCATCTTTCAACCGAGAGAAAAAAGCCATACAACTCCCAGTATCCTTCCGCCTGTCATGTTGGAATTGTAGAACCCAGTCTTTATCATTGCTAACATGCTAACACCCTTCTCCCCAGACTCATCCTATGCATGTTAGCATAACAAGCCACATAATATTCCACATAAGGAATACAGATAACCTTTTTATCAAGAGGCATTTTAGGATAATTATATGTGTATTCAACAGAACTGGTTCTGTGTATTCATCTACTCCAGTTGGAGGACTTTCTTCCTTCCCCAGATGTCTAATTAAGAGTCAAAATTGAGCTAGAATTTTAAAAATTGCCAGGAAGAGACACACAACGGTGTTATTGAATGCTTATATTCCCACACGCCATGATGAGTTAGCCGCTGGGCAAATGACTAGGTCCAGTCACCCTACATAGCCCAAGCCTCGGGCTGCTCCAGCATGGAGTCCCACACTCCTGAGCTGGTATTCTTAAGATCTGCTCTAAGGATGGACTGAAGTCCCAGGCAGTAGATGCTGGTCGCTGAGCGCCCTGCTCACAGGTCCAGCTCACACTACATGATTAGTTTTAATCCCATTCTTCAAATCTAGCTGATTTCTTTTCCTGGAAGGATGAGTCACTTATTTTTATCTATTGGCAAGATGCTGAAAAGGGGGTGTGGGAGGGAGGGATTATTAACCACGATACTCATTTTATGTTTTCTTTAGTAATAGCAACTGGTTGTCTTGTACCATTCCCCTTGGGAGCATATATGTGTACTGTATTGTAAATAATGTGATTTGCAGAGATAGGGGGCCCATTAATAAGATCCTCTCTCAACAAAAATTGACATGATGGGGTAAAATGCCGGAGAAGAGAGCCTTTCCCAAGAAACTCTTTTCCTTGGGAATAATTTCCCTTTACATTAATCATGGTGATTCTGCCCACTTTTAATACGGATCAAAGAAATCAAGGCATTTCTGAAGGCATTGAAGATGTTCTCCCATTTTGTGACTGGGGTTGGTGGAGTGCTTTTTGCCATTGCTTCTGCAATGTCTAAACATATCTAATATTCTCTGCATTGAAGGTCTGGCCAGATTTGACACATTCGCAGTTAAATGAGCTTCCAAATTTCCTTTTGGATTTTCCTAAATAATGGGCACCCTATAGCAGAACAGAGAGAAAAAATGATTTGATTTTGCAACTGAAATGCAGCACGGACTCATAGCATTGTTTTCTTGGTATTTGTTTCTTGTTTCATTTCATTTCAACGGATAGTATATTAATCAATCCTGGAAACCATGTGAAGATTCAAGAGGGTACCTTAGGATTCTTCATTGCAAGTGATGCCAAAGAAGTTAAAAGGTAATTTATTTAATTTTATTAATTTTATTTACTTAGTGTATTTGGAGGCTGCCCAGTGGCCTCACACTCTTTCATGTTGTAATGCTTTCTCACATTGTCGTTTGCTCTCTAGAAAAGCCTTATCTTCTGCTTAGTTCATTTCACTTTATTTTAGTTTGATGTGGTGCGAGCTGTAGCAGCCTTGGATTATTCAAACAGCATAACTAGCAACTTTGCAAAGTGCAGTTTTGAACCTGCCCCCTTGGCTTTTGAACCTGCCCCCTTAGTCAGGATGCTGGCTGCCCTGAAGTGCTTTCTGATGAATCTCATTTGATTGCAATCCTTTTTGTAGCAAGGAATGGGGCCAAGCCTTGAGGGGGGCACACACAAAACCTAAAAGTCTTGCAAGATCAAGGCAAAGGCCCATTTCACCCAGGATTCTGTTTCCAGCAGTAGCCATGTCCTGCCCCAAGATCTACAAGCAGGCCATGAAGTCAGCTGCCTCTTTTCCAAGGGTTGGTCCAGCTGTAGCCTGCAACAAGACAGACAGTGTCTGAACACAGAGGTTTGAGTTATCTGTCGGTGCTAGTAATCCTTGCTCGGTTTATCCCATTTAATGTCCTTAACCCATTTAGAAAGCTGCCTAGTCTGAATGCTACTGTAATAAACCCCACATGTTCATTAGGTATTGTATCCTGACAGTAGCACCTCCTTTTGTCTGTGTTGAAACTTACCTGTGTAGGTTACAAAAAAAGGTGATTAAAAATCCCATAAACTCTCTTTGCACCATTTATAACTGGATTTGCTACTGTCACTTGCCCGCCTTGACCAGCACAAACCAGACTGATCTTTCTAAACAAAACTTTGAAGTTCTCATGGGGTGGTGCTCCAACCCCCTTCACCTTTGAGGTTCTTTTCTTTAGCTGTTGCTAGACAGTTATGTGCATTTAGAGTTTGGATGATCAAACCTCTGCAGTCACAACTCTGTAACTGTGTCTTTTATTTAGACAAAGACATTATGATACCCATCACTCATATTTTCCATCAATTTCTTCATTCCCAATATCAGTTCCTCTTTTTCATTGCCACGTCACATTCACCAGATGTTTCTGGTGAGCTGTGGAAAACAACATTTTTTTCAATGCTACTCACAGCTGCTTCAGAGCATATCAGGATTTGGGGTAGCTCTCTGCGCCATTTTGAATATACTTACATTGAAACCTATTTCTGCATATCTGGCATGAGACAAGCCTTTTGGGGACCATACCAGTATCCATTCGATATTGCTTGGAAGCCAATACAGCCCTGACCGGTTTCCCCAATTCTTCTTCGATAATAATGTGTAAATATGCAGCATTGCATGGAGGAAACATTAATTTACCTTAATAAATTGTGCATTCATTGGCATGCACATTTATTTTTTTATTTTGTTTTTATACGGCCCAATAGCTGAAGCTCTCTGGGCAGTTAATGAAGTTAAAACACACAAACAGGGGCATAAAATAGTAAGACAAAAAAGCCTCAGCAGTCGCAACTGAATCGTCACAGAGGCACGGCAGTGGCACATGAGTCAACCAATCTCCATGACTCGTGCCTGGTAGGATAGTATATTATTGGAAGTTGGACCATTTCCAGCTCCTCAGCTAAGTATATGATCAGGGATTCAGATTTTAGGTAAAAGCAACGCGACTGGTCAGGTAAGATCTAGCCTGTAATATTCTGGACAAGTAGGCACTGTAGGAAAAAAAATGATTGGCAATACTCCATAGTTTTTTCTTTGAAAGCTTTGCCCATGGAGTCAGTATTTTGGTCATTCCCCTCTGTTGGGACTAAATCTTGATGGATGATGCCTTTGATTGCCATGAGCACCCAGTCTTGGGTACTGGGTTGGAACTGGACCCAGGACACACCCTGGTTCAAACTTGATTCATAAATGAACTTCACTGGGAACTTTGAAACAATCTTCCTCTTTTAGCCTGGTCCAGTGGTTTTCAACCTTTCCTCAGCTGGGGACTGGCAAAAACAGGAAAAGCACCTCAGAGAGCACTAAGGCAGAAACAAAAAGCACCATACACGTAATACAGCATTCTGTATATTAGTTTTCAAGAACAATAGCAAAACAATGAAAATTCTCCAAAACAACCAGAAACCGAGCAACCAAAAGAAAAAAAAAATGCCAACAAAAGAACAAAATACCGAAATCAGTGCAGCATGACTCCCAGCCGGCTCCCACTGAGTTGTCTCTCCCCTTCCTGGCCCTCCCCAGCGGCACCAGCACACCCCCTGTGAACGTGATGCTCACCGAGGAAGAGGTGGTGGAACACATCCACCCCCCATACTGGTCCACGGTGAGTGGGATGCAGCCCCCCCCCCCCCGGACTGGCAGGCAATCTCCCATGGATCAACACCAGACCACGGACCAGTGGTTGCAAACCACTGACCTCCTGTACCTTACAGGGTTCCTGTGTAGATGTTTGTTTGTTTGTTTGTTTGTTTGGAGTTTTTATATGCCATCCCATTGCTTAACACCTCGGGACGGCTTGCATAAATAAACATAAATAGACAACATATTGCCCAATACAAATACAAAAAATATAAATTACACAAATTAAAACCCCCAGATTCATTCTGGTTGGAAATTAAAACATATAGGTAATAAAATTTGGGGTGTGGGTAGAACCATGTAAACTGTATCAAAAGGCAGCTCATGCTCTTTAGCAGAAGAACATCTAAAGAGTTTAAAACACCATTTACAACATAACAGTGAAAAGCAGAAAACACCATGGACACTGCATCACATCCTTGCTCATGATGTCACCAGACAACATGGGTGACATCCGTCCCGTGCCCAGCTTCTCAGAAGAACATCTTTTGTCCATTTCCTAGGACAGAGGTACACCTGATGGGTTGCTCTGGAGGCAATTCCAAAGATAAAAAGGCACCGCTCCTTATGGTTAGAAGCCCAAGTCACCACTAAGCACTTTGGGGAGGGGGATTGGTAAAAAGGCATTTATGTGGAAGAGGATGATATAGCCCTGGACCAGGTACCCGAAAGTCATTATTTATGCATTTTGCTGGTGAGGAACCGTGGCCTGGATGAAAATCCTGCCGTACAAAATGGAGGTCACCAGTCTTCCCAGACCGTCCTCTGTTCCTCATGACTCCTGAAAGTCTGCTCTTGTAGGCCACCTAGAGCCAGTTTTGGGGGAAAGGGGGAGATGGCCACACCCCACCCCACTCCACCATGAATACGGAAGTAACTTTCATTCACACAGAAAGGGATCTTTGAATTCAAGCCAGTATTTCTAAGGCACCCAGAGGTGTTTATGCACATAACAGTAAGAATAATTGCTATTGCCCTGCATTTCTTTCTTGACAGTATCTGGATTCCTCCAAAACATTAAACTGTGTGAAACTAAGTGGAACAAATAGCCCCACATATCTTGAACTGAATGTTAAAAAAATGGGGAAAAAGTCAGGGGGCTTTGAGCCAGCAGTTCCCCTGCCAAGATCAGTGTTTTCATCTCTTGTGTGTTTGGATAATACAGTCACTTTGGATGCTACTTTCCAAGATGAAAGCTGGATGAGCTGATCCACCATGTCATATTTATTAACCGTTCCCCCAATTATTTTCAGGTTAAATTTATTAAAAGAAGCACGAACTTGAATCACCCAGCCTTGTGTTTGAAATTAATTGTCTTGTAGCAAACATTTCCTTCTTTAAATGTCCAAACCTTTCAAAAGATTAAAGGAAATTAGTGCTGGCATGTTTCATTAATTTGGCACTTGTAGCGAGGAGGAAATGTGGGACTAATTTCATTTGTATGGATTAAGAAATGTGTCAGTTTTTCCATTCTCCCTCCTTCTCTAGGGCATTTTTTTACTGCAAGGCCTGTCATGATGACATCACAGATCCCAAAAGGATAAAAAAATGTGGCTGCAAACGGCGTAAGTAATATCCTCTCCTCCCCGTACACCTTCTCCCTTTCTTCCCTCCTACTCTACTCTTAGGCTTCAAGGAGCCTCTCTAAATGTATTTCTGTATTATATGCAGCAGTGGGAAATCCATACCTATCAGCCAATCGATATGGTGTCTGGCAAACTGGATAAACATGTACTATTAAAATGGAAGTTCACTGCATTTATTTGCATCTTCATCACCACTGGAACATCTCTGGGCCCCACGTTAACAAAGACTAGGTCATGGTAGCATTATGCATAGGTGTCACCATTGTTATGTAGATGTGCTTGGAAGGGTAAATCCAAGGTTGTGCAAGAGGAATTCTGTGCATGTGCAAAGCTTTCCCCTTCCGCTCTTCCTTCTGAAGGGCAGACCAGTTTCCTCCAGCAGACAGCAGCACATGCAAGGTCGAAGGGAAATGTGAGCTTCCAGGAGTGCCCATTCTGCCAGCAGAGGGTCAGCACTAGGTAAAACCTCCATCAGATAACAGTATTCTCCCCACCACCACCCCTTCCAAATCTTAAATAAGTTTGGGAAATCCACTTATGTGTCTTGCCCTGATGTGGCAAAGGCAATGCTTAGGTTTATCTCATAATGTAAAGGCAGCTTTCCATCCTTGACATGATAAATTAAAATGTCACAATACTGGGGTGATACCCAGTCTCAGTCCTATCCCTTCTGTTCTGCAGATAAACACTGTACCAACAGATTCTGGTACATTTTCTTTAATATAGTGGAAATGGCCTTCACACCTATTTGCAAGTTATATGACAATCGCAGCTGTTTCTCATGTTTTGTTATGCTGCTCTCCATTCTGGGCATCAGACTCTGCTCAGAGTGAGCCATGCAGGAATCTTCAAGGGTGGTTTGTTTTCCTGAAAAAAGGAACAGGCTCTGGGTAGCTGGACGGTCCCTGAGCACACGGACTGCAGCCTGGAGAAGCTTCCAAACCTTGGGAAGCACAGGAGACGTGTCATCTCTGAGCCGGTGCAGAAGAACCAAACTCTGGAGAGTTCTCAGTGTCAAGTAGGCAGAAAGTCAGCAGCGCAATGCAACACAGTTGAAGCACATCTGCCTCTCTCATCCCCTGTGAGTGGGAACTCATGCTAGTCAAAACAACGTTGACCGATGCAGGAGCAGGAGGGTTGTCAGAAGGCTGTTGTGTGGACAACAGCCAGAAGGGAGCCGATTCTCACAATCTTCTTGGTGTGACTGGAGTTTGCTGTAAGCAGATCCCCCCAGGGGCTTTCACACACACGTTCAGCATGCTGCTGGCAACCCCCAGAAAAGGATGCTCGGTTCTGTGCATACCATATAGCTTACATATTACCACTTTCACACGGGGCCCTAGGGACTAGATGAGAATCAGTGCTATGTTTTGGCCGAGGCTTTCTTAACAAATTTTGAACTCTGGCAATTCATGTCCATTTTGAATTTCCAGAAAGGAAGGAAGGAATAACTTCACTGGGTGTAAGATCTATACAAGGGCATCCTCAGGGAGACTTGCTGTGATCTATTTTATGGAGAAATCTTACCATGAAGTTGTAATTCATCTGCAGTTACTTTCTTACAAATGCACAGGTACTCATAGATTTATCCATAATGAAGTACACAGTGCTGATTAAACCAGTTCTCATTTAAACAGGCTTCAGGGTGTAACTGAAAGTTCAGGATTTATCATACCCTCTAAGTGAGCTAGTCTTAGGACCAAGTTATACAATAAGCAGAATCAAGTGTGAATGCTTCTCCTGGACCACACAACTTTCATTTACATTTGAGAGTTGAGTGTCGTATGTTGGAAAGATCCTCAGCAATAACAAAATCATCCTACATGTTGAGAACTACAGTTGCAACCTGCCCCTTTCCTTTCCATGCTATTTTGCCAGGCACGGGAGGAGGGGGGGGTGGAGTGGAATGCAGGGAGAATGCAAGCATGGAGCCGCTTCCACAATTGCAAGCTGCATGTTATAATCCAGGGGGAGCTTTACCACATTATTTTGCTGATAATATAACTTGTTCCTGAATAGCTACAGCACAGGAAAGCTATTTGTGTTACCATCCATTCAGAAATGTTATGCAGTACTAAGCAGAATAAGAGTTTGGTGGATGTCATAGAGAAGAAATTAAAAAAAAAAACACAACAACAACTAGAAATAAATCCTCTGAAAAGCCTTCCAGCAAAAGGTAGGTCAAAACCCACTGAATTTCCATTCAAGGTCTAAATTGACACCCCTCTGTATATTAGAAATAGTCTAGCAGTTGTAAGCATCAATAACTCCAGCAGATGAAAAAGTGTAGGACAGGTGCTGAAATAAAATGAAAGCCAGCTGCAAAAGGGAAGAAGTCAGAACTACTGGGTTAAGCATGGCATCAGCCAGGTAGCTTGGGAGAGTTGGAAAGGCATGGAGAGTAGAAGCAAGTCTTTTTTCTTTGAATACGTTCTCTGTTCACCCCTTTTCATGAGAGCTCATCTGCGCACTCAGGTTAGCATCCCTCTCTTTGCCTACAAGCAGCATTGCCCAGCTTGCAAATTTCCCATGGAAAAAATGCAGGCCTAGCATCAGGAATGGAGGGAGAGTCGCACTAGGAAGTGCATTCCTCTGCCCGTGTGTTGCATCTGCCCTCAGAGCCCCCCCACCCCCACCCCAGAAGCCACTTTGTGGCAGGAAAGTGGGAGCCAGTTTAGAAAGACAACTTGGCCGTGTGATGCAGAATTCCAGCTACAGCCTCCAAGCATATGTGGTCAGGGATTCCCCATTAGTGAGCAACCTGTGCCTAATGATGCATGCTGAAATCCCATTGATTCCAATAGACAGAACTCAGAGTCCAGATGTAACCAGGCTGTTTCCTGTAATTTGATTAAGGCACTGCCGGTGAAGCATAGCATCTTGGACTTTTGAGAGTCGCTTGCGATTTTTGTGTCTGTCCAGCAGTGATGAATAATTATCAGGCAGCAGCATTAGCATGAAGTTAATCGGGACGCCTTAAGGTCGCCCATAGGTAAGGCACCAAAAGAATGACATCATTTCAGCACCATGATTTGATTTGCTGACCAACCTCCTTAAAATCAAATGAAAAGGACAATGCCACAGATATTCACAGAACACTCAGGCATGGTTTGGGCTGCAAACATGTCCCATCAGCTCCAGCCAGGATGGCAATGATCAGGAATGCTGGGAGCTGTAATCCAAAACATCTGGAGAGGGTGCAGGGAGAATTCCAGGGACACATTCATTTCCCTGCCGTTGCTGTTACGTCATGGAGAAAGATCAGTACTGTTGGGTGCAGTGACTCCCATTCGTGATTTCCTCATCAAGAGCCCTTTAACAACCCTCCAAGAATCCCCGGGGTTCCCAAAAGCTGCTGATATCGCTCATATAGGTTCTTGCTGATAACAGCTTTGCAATCCGGCCCTTCAAAAGCTCAGCAACAATGTATTCAGACTTACTGCCCCAAATCATGTGCAAGTGGCAGTGCTACAGTGGAAACTGGGCACCCTCAGTTCTGCCATGGGACTGCATGTATGAACTGGCGGGCCGAATGAATGTTGCTTGTGATTAGGGCCCGATTGGAAGAGATCAGGTCCATTCCAGTGAGGTTTAAGGAGTCCGTTGGTGCACTGGAATGCGGCCCATGTGGAAGAGGGAAGCATGCCAACCTTTGCACCCCATATTTTGTGTACAGCAGAATTTGCTGAATCTATCGAAAATACCCAACAGGTAAATTAAAACTATAAAGTTGCAACAGTCCCTACTTGAAATGCCATAACATTCCCTGCTCCTGACTGCAATTTCAGCTTCCTTTATGATGGAAACAAGGACAACGACACTGCTCCTCTCACCCTGCATTTGCTTGTACCGATGAGCAGCATAACAAAAATTAGAAATGTTGAATGGAAATTCAATAATGCTTGAGAATAACCCAGTGTGTATAGATGAATGAAATGTGGAAAAATTTCTTCTTTACAGGGAAATCTTAATTATTGTGGCCTTAATTACATGCAACTTCCTGAGATAGTTGAAAGCCATGTTCTTTAATAATGCATCTGAGGTTTCATGTCCCTTTAGATGCTGACTGAACATTAGCTTCAGGATTGTCAGGGTCTAAAAGTGAGCCTGACCTACATAGCTATTTGTCCAAACCTGTTAGGCCTAGTATTAATAATTCAGCATAGAGTTCTACCGCTCCACAAAGCCAAAGATAATTAGAATAACTGTGCTTTCCTTCCACGGATCTTTCCCCCCACCCTTCCATCCCTCCTCTACCCATTCTGAATAATCTGTAGTTTTTCATGTCAAATTGTCTGTAACAAAATTCTGGTGTGAAAATACTGTGCTTCTGAAGATTTTGATTGCTCTGTGGTTTATTAAGGTTTAAATAGTGCTTTTGGTCTGATTTCATTGCAGCTCTCCAGTAAAGAACCACTAGAGATATGTGTGTACACGCTGCAGTTAAATACATATACCTTTTTTAGGGCTGCAACATTTATTCTGACTATCCTCTTTCAGATTTTTTGACAATTTGCACAGGTGTCTCCAAATTAATAATGCATTTGTTTGTAGTACATTTATGAAAAACGTGGGGAAGAGGCATGTCTGTCTTCACTCAAACACAGCAGGGAATGCCTCTTCCAAGAGGTGGTCTGCCATGAAATGGCCATACATCATCTAAACCAGACTTCCCCAACCTGGTGCTCCCATATATATGTTGGACTGGAACTTCTGAATGATAGGCGTTGCGGTCCAACACACCTGGATGGCTTCAGGTTGGCTCCACGTTTGGGAAAGCCAGTCTAAGACAAATGAAGTGCAGCATGTTGTTCTTTTTGTCTTGCAAAACTATTGCTTTTTTGATACACAAATGTTAATTAACTCCATTAATTAACCGGTTTATCGATCATCATGTATTGGCAGCAGCCCTAAAGCTTATATTTGTCACAGCTGTCCTGAGATGAAAATTCAGCATTGGATGGTGTGCTTTCTCTTCT